GTAATTTATTTAACCTTTCTGAATTTTGATTTGCTCATCCATAAAATGGGAACAATAATACCTACTTCATCAGATTGTTAAGAGGATTCAGTGAGAAGAATATACTTTAAGTGCTTTACATAATATCTAGCACCTAGCAGGCACCTAATAAGTGTTACCTTTCCTGCCACTTATGACCATGGTGTTTCTCACTTTGAAAAGAGGTGAATGCAGCTTGAGGAAGGTGATTTCTGTAGTTAAATGTCTCTTTTTAAGGTATCAGATAGAGGGTATTAGAAAAAAAGGAAAGTTTGAGATGCTCTGTGTGAGCTTCTGGGCACAGTCATTAACTTGTAGTTGTTGTCACTCTTCTAGAGGAAATTATGCATTCCTCTGTGATTTATCTCTTGGCATTGGTATTTTGGAACAGCCCATTCCAAGGGATGCGGAATATGGGCCCTTGGGCATTATCTCTTAAGGTCTGGAAGGTCTCAACTACCAAGCTTGCCCTTGTCCAAAAGGATATTCTCTGCAACAAGCCATGCCATTCTCTTTTGAGGGAGTGAGCAGCCATTGCTCACCTAGTGGGTAAAGCTGTTTACACAGTATTAAGTTTCTATACCATAAGGTCATGCTTCGTTGGAAATCTCTCAGACCAGGAGTCAGGCCTTTGGTGAAGAATCTCGTGTTAGCTGTTTATCCCCCACTTCATTTTAGAAACTATTATTTAACAATGAGAAACATGATAAAGCAAAGGATTAAATTAAATGGTACATCTTGTCCCTCATATCTTCATAATGACTACAACATTTACTGTACCTGATAGCAAAGTCTTACAGATGTATGACTGATTAACAATACTATGTTTAGGCAATCATCCCCTTATTTTTTAGTTATCTTAACTCTTCCCTGTATGTACTGCTACTTCTGTGAGTGTCCTTGGAACAATTTGGCTGGTCATGTGCCCAGATGGCATCAAGTGGACAAGTGGATCAAGGCCAGTTTTCTAAAAATGTGTGTGTATGTAGAGGGGGTGAGTCAGGAGCCTGCCAGCATGAGCTGTGTGTTGGCACTGAGATTCTGAGTGCCAGTTCTCTGCTGTCCTTGAAACTGCCCTTGACACAGGGCATTTTCTTCTTTGGCCTAAACCTGTCTTTTCTGGCATAAACCCTGTGCAAAACTCAGTCTATAATAGTTTATAAATAAACCTGGTTATTGTTTATACCCATTTTTTGGTTTTGTTTTGGGCCTAAAGAAAGGGGATCTTGGCTCCCTTTAATGTCCATATCCAGTCATCTTCCATTGGCAGTATCTAATTTTGAAGAAGGCAACACTGACTGAGGGAATTAGGAACAGTTTTAGTTGATAGTTGTGTGCTTAAAAAAAAAAGAGAGAGAAAGCAGCCACAAGGGATAGAGAGGTGGAGGTGAGAGCTGAGATGTAGATAAGACAGCGGAGAGCAGGCCAAGGAGCTGGTGGAGAGCCCTGCTGAGGCGGCTCATGCTGAGCAAACCTTCTGGGAATCTTTTTGTGCTGCCAGTGAGTGACAGGAACGCAATAATGAGGTATTAAATACTTGTACTTTAACAAGTAGCTGAGGACCAAGGGAAAACGGGGACCAAATACATGAAAATGACATAGAGCAGCTAACAGGTAGAGAAAGTTATAAACCAGAGTCTAGAGAAGTACTGGTAACAGTATAGTCAGCAGGTCTAAGCATACCATTTATAGTAAGCTGCAACCCCACTTTAACAAACATACTATTTATAGTAAGCTGCAACCCCACTTTAACATTCATCTTGATCTTGTACCTTTATTTGTTTAATCTTTTTTTTTTTTTTTTGAGACAGAGTCTTGCTCTGTCGCCCAGGCTAGAGTGCTGTGGCCTGATCTCGGCTCACTGCAAACTCCGCCTTCCAGGTTCAAGCGATTCTCCTGCCTCAGTCTCACGAGTACCTGGGATTATAGGTGCTCACCACCGCGCCTGGCTAATTTTTGTATTTTTTAGTAGAGACAGGGTTTTACCATCTTGGCCAGGATAGTCTCAAACTCCTGACCTCATGATCCGCCCTCCTCGGCCTCCCAAAGTGCTGGGAATACAGGCGTGAGCCACCGCACCCAGCTTGTTTATCTTCTTAATGGGATGGTAGAAAGAACACTAAACAGGAGACCAGGTTCTAGTCCCAGCTTAGTCACCAGCTAGTTTGGGGTGGGGGTGGAATGGGGCATGGAGTTTTCTTATCAAAAAATGAGGAAATTGGATTAAATAACCTAAGGTATTTTCTCTAAAAATCTATAATCAGCTATGTCAAAGCCTCACAGACTTAAAACTCCCATCATATCAGGTCAGAGGCTAAAATCTGTGTGTAGTGGTGTATAGGACACTGAGCAGTTGATATAGCGAGTGTGAAGTCAGGGAGATGATGATGGAGAAAAGCACTATTTCATGGGATATTTGGGACATTCTCTTTTGAAGAAGAGTTACCATCTGTGATGTCAGAGGTTTCATTTTAGTTGCCTGTTAAATTCTCTGTAGAGAAAATTCTCTCTCTTTTTTTTTTTTGAACAAAGAGTCTCACTCTGTTGCCCAGGGTGGAGTGCAGTGGCGCGATCTCAGCTCACTGCAACCTCTGCCTCCTGGGTTCAAGCAATTCTTCTGCCTCAGCCTCTCGAGTAGCTGGAACTACAGGCTCATGCCGCCATGCCAAGCTAATTTTTTGTGTTTTAGTAGAGACAGGGTTTCACCCTGTTGCCCAGGCTGTTCTCGAACTCCTGAACTCAGGCAATCTGCCTGTCTTGGCCTCCCAAAGTGCTAGGATTACAGGCGTGAGCCGCCGCGCCTGGCCCCTGTAGAGAATTCTTACTTCCAGGTGAGAAGACCTTGGTTCTTTGGGGAGCAGAATATCTGACCTGCATTTTCAGGGGCAGAATGCAAGCCGCTCTGGCACTGACTCTCAGAGTATTGCAGTACTGGACTCTCCCTTTCAGTACTCTGGCTCTGCTAATGCCTGTGGCTGTTGGGACACAGGTTGTCTCTTGGCCTGTGTCAGAATTGCTGTCTTCCTCCTCTAATATTTATCACGTTGTCATCCTGGACTCTGAATCCCAGAGATCAAGACTAGCTATAGTCCAGCAGAGGAGCAATAAATCATTGCTCCCGCATCCTTTTCTCCAGGTTTCCTGCCCTTTAATTACCACATAGCCACTGCTGAGGCTGCATCTCTGTGCTGTGTGTTCTGGGGACAAAAGCCCTTGTTGATTGGATGTGTACAAAAGCTGCTTTGTCTCTAGCCATTACGTTTTACAGAACGCCATGCATGCTGCCCATCCTTTCTCTCACCTCTGTGAGTTTATAGAGTCCGATTGTCAGGTATATCATTAACAGGGCTTGTCTAAGCTCTGGGGATTAGGTGGTGGGGTGGGCAGTCCCTACGTGGCTCAGCAAGGTGATCTTCTTTAAGGAGGGAAGTTTGGGTTAGTAATTTTTATGTGGATTTTAGCTAGGCCCCTTATTCCTGTGCTCCTTGTAGGAGCTAAGCAGGTTGTGTGATCCTGAATGGGCTCCATGGAGCCTTTTTTTCCCTGCAGTCCAACAGATCACTTGATCACTTAACAGACACCATTAAAAGGGCCAGCTGCCTATCATTTGCCTTTTCATTATGAAACCCCAGAGAACTCAAATCGGGGCCGCGGTAAAGAGTTTATAAATGAAGATGCCTGTCTCCTTCATGCCTGGCAAGGCTTTTTTGCTATTTGAGGGGAAGATTCAGGCTTTAGAAACAGAATGTGGGTGAAGCCAGCCTCTTGTACTTTCCTTGCCTGCTGTTTCTTTACTGTACCTGTGCTTTTAAAGGATTGAGAGTGAGGGGTGTTGTGTGGCAGGCAGCAAGAGTCTGGAGAGTCTCACTCCTACTCATTATTCCCTGCTGTTCCAAATCAAAGCTCACATCTCTTCTTTAAGAGTAGTAAACTTCACACAAAACTCTGAGATCATGGGAGAATGAACTTCTTTGCTGGCAAAGAAGCAGATATGGTCCTAGAAAAAGAGAGGTCGAGCCTTTTCTTGGGTCTGTGGAAGGTGGGGGTTTGAGAGGGAGAAGACAGAAGGACCACAGATTGCCTGCAGCTACTGAACCCCTTTTATAGTATCCCATCAAGTAGGGGAGGTAGGTACAGGAGCATTATCTGAGATGGGCAGAGAAGCAGGACTCATTTTGTGGACAAAGTGTGCTAGGTGAATGAGTATAAGGTAACTGATAACTTCTTTTATGCTTAATATTTATTTACAAAATAGTCTGAAGCTGCACTGTTAACCTAGGGACTTGGCAGTCAGTCTCTACTGAGGTTGCTTGGGTTTTAGAAATCTCTCCCCTCACTGAGAGTTGCCAAGCAGAAAGAGATTTCAGTAAATGTTGTCGTGGTCACAAGCGGTCAGCGCAAGCTTCAGTTTGTTTGGATAGTTAGAGCAGTTAAGGGCTTTTTTTCTCTTTATGAGCTCTCCTCATCTAGAGCTGCAGCCCAGCTGTAGGTTCTACAGTATAGCTGCCACGTCTGGTGACCACTTAGATTGGATACATATTCCTCTTAGCAATGATGTCTGAAACAGATACATGTCTAAGGCTTGGTGACAATAGAAGCTAGCAGCTGAGGGTGGAAGGGGGACCCTCATTTTCAGCTGTAAATTGAGCAAGTTTGATGGGGAAATCACCATGTGGGAGTAAATTTGAAACGCCAAGATGTCAGTTTTATAGTCAAATTTCTGAGCTTAATTGCTATTTAAGAAGTGGCAAAAAGAAGTAGATATTTAACAACCTTCCATGAGCAGATAAGCAGACACGTGCTTGGGAAGGTGAGTGCTTTCCTCAAATATACCTACCTTACCTGCTTTTTAAAAGACCTTGGTGGCTGAGACTCACTCACTGTAACCCCCCAGATTTTTTTAGAGCTAGTCTGTTTTTAATTTAATTTTATTAATCATGGTTTGAATAGCTTGTTGATGTCTTTTTTTTTTTTTTTTAAAGCCTTGATAAATTTGCTGAAGTTCCTTATGTCAAACGAGACTGTACTTTTGGCCAAACACAACATTTTTACTTTAGCCCTTATGGTGAGTATCAAAACAAATACTTCTTTTTCTGAAGCCATATGCTAAGGCAGAAATGAACTGGTTTGAAACAGGAGCTGGTGGTCTGGGGACTAAGCCATAGAGGGAACCAGACCTATATATATATTTTTGGATCAGAATCTGGACTGGTGGTCCCCACTCTCACCTATGTCTTTGGCATGACTCTCTTTCCTTCGTGAAAATATATCATCTGGCAGGGGTGGGTATAGGTTAGATCTCTCTGTATGAATAGTGAGCCTTGGTCCCAACTGAGAGACTACTGTATACTACTGCGGTCTCTATGTTGGTAAATAACAGACCCTCTGAAGGTTCCATCATGGCTGCACTTGGTTTCTGAGGGACATTACAGATGATTGTTTATCTGGCTGGTTATTTGGGATAGAAGGAGGCCATTGTGCAGTTTGACTATCTTCTTAGGATATTATACAATGTGTTCTTAAATGTTCAACATTAGAGGGAAAAAAGTCTTGATTCATAGCATTTGCTGAGTTTCATTGTAGAGCTACACCCACCATGGCCAATTTCAAACTATCAATGTGATATCAGAGTCATGCAGAATTGGGAAGCAATGTGCAGTAGCACACCATTATATGACATTTACACCACACAGATATAATAGTTATAAATCTCCAGAGCATAGGTTATAGTAAAAGGTAGAAAATAATTAGGAAGTGATAAGTTTTTAGTATTTATTACTTTCATTTTAATATAATTTATTTAATTATAAGTTTATATGAATGAAATTTTTAATAATGACTATGTTTAATAACTGGCTTACAAAATTCATGAAATTTTACAGTCAACTCTTGTGTGACAGTAAGAGCTGGCTACAGCACACCACTGATAATTTCTAGTCTTCATAGCCTGATGTCCATATATGGGCCTTTCTTTCTTTTTTAGATTGTGAACCTATTTAATATGTTTATCACATATGGCGACACATTTCTGCCAACCCCCAGCAGCTATGATGAACTTTACTATGAGATTATCCGCATGCACCAGAGCTTTGACAACCTCTACTCCATGGGTAAGCTGCCTTTTCTTTTTACTCCTCTCTCCACCGTTTGTCTAGCTTTTGGCATATAAGAGGAAAAGACTATGAAAGATTCTCCTCTAGTTGTTTGGTGCCTTGTGTGGCACAGAAATATAGTAGCTTCCTCTTCTCAGGCAATAGGAAGGTATGTTGGGGCCTTTTTGCCTTCAGGAATTCAGATTTCATCTCAGTATAAAGCTGGTTAGCAGCCCTTTGTTGCTGTTTGTGAGAGAGAGAGAATAGGGAGGCTTGTGGATTCATTGAATGCCAGGGAGAAGGAGGTGAAGGAGTGGGTGGGAATTGACAGCAGCAAATAAAAGAACTTGGATCCCAGAACACTGTGTAATTTGAGGATGTCCAGGATTTTAAGGAATCTTAGTGTACCTATGTATTTTTAGCATAACTTACAAGTGGAAGTGGGCATTAGATAAAAATCTTTTTTTGGAAATCTTTTGGTGATTGGCTCACCGAAATGTACTCTCCAGCTATAGCAAGTATAACTTATTTCTGAAAGAAGTCATATGTCCCCATAAGTTTGGGATAAGGGCCTAGTTAATTCTACCTGTAGTATAAAGGTTAAGGAAAAATCTCTGTAGATTGCACAGAAACAGCCACTCAGTAAAACTATCTTATTTTTAAAACCCAAATTTATTAGCTTTATTGAAGTATAATAGATATATAAACTGTACACATTTTAATTATACAAATTTTAATGAGTCTTGATATATGTGTATGTATGTGAAACCATCACAATGATCAGGATAATAACCATATCCATCACCTCCCAAGTTTCTTTGTATCTCTTTAGAATCCTCTCACGTCTTCTTCACCTCCTTCACCCACTGTGCCTCATCCTTGGGCAACCACTGATTTGCCTCTGTCACTGTAGATTAGTTTGCTTCATCCTTTGTGATGAGATTAATTGTGAAAACCCCAACCTCTCCTTGGGACTCCTGTATCATGAGAAAAGTGGAGAGGATTTGGAACAAGTACCAGGAGAAGGAATAGAAGCAGCAGTGGAAAAGAAGGATTGCCTGGGAGGAAAATATTTTTTTCTAGTATACTTCATTTTTTAGAGCAGTGAAGGAAAACTTTTAAGAGAACTTTGTAAGAGAACCTTTGCTATAATGTCTTAGGCAGTGCAAGTAGGGCCTTGTATTAGTAGGATGTTTTCAATGGCAAGTATCAGAAAACTCGGACTTAAAACTATCTTAAAGAGTAGGAAAATTATATGAAATTCTAGAATGGTGTGATCAGTTGCTCAACAATGTCTGCAAGGACCCAGGTTTTTAAAGTATCTCTTCTCTCTCATTGTAATAGTTTTAGCATCAAGTCAGTTGCCCATGCAACAGCAAGTTTCAGTTGTCCCATCAAGACCCATCTCTTTTTTTTAGGAGCTTGGCAGCCTTACATAAGAACTCTCTAATAGACTTTACGTTGGCTAGATGTGCTCAGGATACCCTAGTGGTTTGCATCTGCCTGGCTTCACCAACTTCCTGAGAATGTAGAATGCAGAATTTTCCAAGAGTAAAGAGCTGCCCCAGCGGTTTTAGCACTCATTGGTAGATGAATAAACATGCTTTTCAATGAGGAAAGGAAAGAGTTGGAGTTGGGGAGATATTTTATAAAAGTCTGACATACCTGCTCAGCGGGGCCTCATGTAACTAATCAAATGAGATAAACCCTTGTAGCTATAGCAACAAGATAAGAGAAGATACCTGTGAATGTCTAAATCTGCCAAGGGAATAAAAATGTTAACCAGGAGGGCACAAATAGGAAAGTGAAAATTTTCAACAACTGAAACACAGCAAACAGTAGGAGGTGGCATGTTTCAGTGCTCTGTTTTATATAAACTTCTGGTGAAAAAAAACATGTTTTTTATTAACCTTTTTGAGGCATAATTTACATCCATGGCAGAAACCATCCTTTTAAATGTACAGTTTTGAGTTTTGACAAATGCATATAGTAGTGTAATTATCACAAAAATCAAGATATAGAAGAGTTTCACTATCCAAAAAATTTCCCTTGTGTTCCTATGAACACATAGGAACTCACATGTGAGTTCCTCCGTCTACTCACAACCCCGAGCAACCACTGATCTGTTTTCTGTTCTCATGGTTTTGCCTTTTCCAGAGTATCTTATAGATGGAATCATATAACCTGTTGAGTCTGGCTTCTTTCATATAGTATTTCATTTGAAATTTATCCATGTCATTGCATGTATCAGTAGTTCCTTCCTTTTTACTACAGAGTAATATTTCATTGTATGAATTACCATCTTAGTTTGTCCATTTGTCAGGTTAAGGACATTTGTAAGGTTTCCAGTTTTTAGCAATGATAAATAAAGCTCCTGTTAACATTCTTATACATTAGTGAATACAGGGTTTTTTTTGTTTTTGTTTTTTCTTGAGACAGGGTCTTGCTCTTTCACCCACGGTGGAGTACAGTGGCACAATTATGGCTCACTGCAGCTTTGACCTCCTGAGCTCAAACAATCCTCCCACCTCAGCCTCCCAAGTAGCTGGGACTACAGGTACATGCCACCACACCCAGCTACTTTTTGTAATTTTAGTAGAGACAGGGTTTCGCCATGTTGCCCAGGCTGGTCTTGAACTCCTGGGCTCAAGCAATCTGCCCATCTCGGCCTCCCAAAGTGTTGAGATTACAGGTGTGAGCCACTGTGCCCAGCATGAACACAAGTTTTTATTTCACTTGGCTATGTGCCTAGCAATGGGATTTTGGGGTGTTGTGGTAAGTATGTTTTAACTGTATAAGAAACCACCAAACCGTTTTCCAAAGTGATGTTCTATTTTACATTCTCTCCAGCAATGCATGAGAGCTGTCATCATTCCATATTGTAACCAGCACTTGATATTCTCCACTTTTGTTTTTTTGTTTTTTTTGTTGTTGTTGTTGCTGTTGTTTGCTTATAGATATATAGTGCTACTTCATTGTGTTTTTAACTTTGCATGAGTAATGATGTTGAGCATCTTTTCCTGTCCTTATTTGCCATCCATATATCTTCTTTGGTGAAGTATTTGCTCATATCTTTTGCTCATTTGAAAAAAAAAAGGGGGGGGGGTTGGGTACGGTGGCTCACGCTTGTAATCCCAACACTTTGGAGTCCAAGGCGGGAGGATCAAGACTAGCCTGGCTAACATGGTGAAACCCCATCTCTACTAAAATTGCAAAAATTAGCCAGGCATGGTGGCACACACCTGTAGTCCCAGCACTTTGGGTGGCCGAGGTAGGCAGATCACTTGAGCTCGGGAGTTTGAGACCAGCCTGGGCAACATGGCAAAACCCTGTCTTTACCAAAAATACAAAAATTTATCTAGGCGTGGCAGTGCATGCCTATGGTCCCAGCTACTTGGGAGGCTGAGGTGGGAGGATCACTGGAGCCCAGGAGGCTGAGGTTGCAGTGAGCTGAGATTGTACCACTGCACTCCAGCCTGTGTGACAGAGTGGGACCCTATCTCAAGAAAAAACAAAAAACAGTACACACCAATGTTTATAATGGCACCATTCACAAGTGCCAAAAGGTGGAAGCAACTCAAGTGTCCATTGACAGATGAATAGATAAACAAAATGTGGTATATACACCCAGTGGGATATTATGCAGCCTTCAAAAGGAAAGAAGTCCTGTTACATGCTACAGTGTGTATGAACCTTGAAGATATTGTGCTAAGTGAAATAAAGCAGTCACAAAGGGGTGGTACTTATATGAGGTATCCAAAGTAGTTAAATTCACAGATATGGAAAGTAGGATGATGATTACCAGGGGCTTTGGGAGGAGACAAAGAGAGTTGCTTAATGTGTGTAGAGTTTCAGTTCTACAAGGTGAGGAAGTTCTGGAGATCTGTTTTACAACAATGTAAATGTACTTAACACCTAAATTGTATGCTTAAAAATGGTTAAGAGCAGCTGCTCCAAAAGTAAAGTATCTCAGTCATTCACAGTCAGTTAAAAAGATTGAACTTCTCTTTTCCCCCTTTTTACTACTGCCATTGATGAGTCTTTTTTGAAAAAATGGTTAAGAGGGTAAATTTTATGAGATGTGTGTGTTTCTTTTCTTTTCTTTTCCTTTTCTTTTTCTTTTTCCTTTTCCTTTTCTCTTTCTTTTCTTTTCTTTCTTTCTTTTTTTTTTTTTTAACCACATAAAAACAAACCTAAACTCTAAAGTGTATTTAGATTCTACCAATTTTTCTACTAATGTCCTGTTTGTATTCCAGGATCCCATCCATGTTACCACATTATATTTAGTCATCGTGACTCCTTAGTCTTCTCTGGTCTGTGACTGTTTCTTTGTGTTTCCTTGTTTTTTTGTGACCCTGATAGTTTTCAAGAATGTTCCTCGATTTGGGTTTGTCTTTTGTTTTACTCATGGTTTGACTTGGATTGTGGATTATAGAGAAAAATACCACACAGTCCAAGTACCCTGACTTACCACTGATGATACTAATCTTGATCACTTGGTTAAGGTAGTGTTTGCCATGTTTCTCCACCACAGAGTTGTAATTTTTTCTACTTTTTCATAGTCTATTCTTTATTTTCTTTTCTTTTTGTTTTTATTATGGAAGCAAATCACTAAATGCAGCCAACATAAAAAGTTAGGGGATAGGGAGGTTAAGCTCCACCACCTGCAGAAAAGAGTATCTGTATAAGTTATTTAGAACTTTTCTGTAAGAATTTGGTTGCTGCTGCTGCTGCTGTTTGTTCTTGTTGTTATTTTTGTTGTTCTTCTTCCTCCTCCTCATCCTCCGCCCCCCTCCCCCAACCGCCTTGCTTCCTTCCTTTCTTCCTTCCTCCTTTTTTTTCTTTTTTTGAGACGGAGTCTCACTCTGTTGCCCAGCCTGGAGTGCAGTGGCACAATCTCGGCTCACTGCAACCTCCACCTCCTGAGTTCCAGGAATTCTCCTGCCTCAGCCTCCCAAGTAACTGGGATTACAGGCCTACACCTCCATACCTGGCTAATTTTTTTTACTTTTAGTAGA